AAGCAAGCTAACGTTATCCAGCTAACAGCACAATCAGACAATATGTTCCACTAGCTTAGCATTAATGTTAGCTTTGACTTTGGACTCTGTTTATAAGCTAACGTTAGCTAGTGTTGCACACTGTTGACACTGTAGGGGAGAGTTAGGGGTTGGGACCCTGTGAGGTCCAGCTTCTGGTTTCAGATGTCAATCACAAGGTAGTCCCGCCCTGAAGCACTTCCTGCGGTATGATCTGGTTTACAGTGGACCCTCCTCTTCCTCCTTTTCCTCCAGATCTCCGTGCTGTCAGCAGACGTCTCTCTGTGCCCCCGTCTGAAGGTCCTCCGTCTGGAGGAGAACTGTCTGGAGCTGTCCTCCATCCCTCAGTCCATCCTGAAGGACTCCCAGGTGTCCCTGTTCTCTGTGGAGGGAAACCTGTTTGAGGTGAAGAATCTCAGAGACCTGGAGGGTTACGACAAGGTCAGACCCACTTCCTGTCACGTTCATTGTAGTCCCTGTAGTCCCTGCAGGTCTCTGATGGTCTCTGTTGTGTCCCCCTCAGTACATGGAGCGTTTCACAGCCACCAAGAAGAAGTTCACCTGAAGATGTTGGATGAAGAGTCTCAATCTCAGAGCACCACCTCGAGGTGGGGTCAGCCGTGACTCCGCCCACCACCGCTGCTTCTTCTGCTGCTAAAATCCAGAATTCACACAGCTGGGACAAAGGGGGGCGCCACTCAGACACCAAGACCTGCTGCTTCCAGTCGGAGTCATCAAACTGCAGAGAGAGGAGAAGAAACTTTCATTGTTTGTTTGTTGGACTCTTTAATGAACGTTTGTCTCATTTAAGGTGAAAATGATCTTCTGGAGCTCCACCCACCAGGAAGAGAAAGAGAAAATAATAATCAATAATCAACTGAAACCACCATTCAAAGTTAATATTAACCAACAATAACAACAATAAACCAATAACTGACATATTAATAGTTAATAATAGACAGTTATAATGGATAAAGTAGTTTATTAATAAGTTGTGATTATTGATTTGCTTCTTTAACAGCATTGAGCACATTTCCTCTCTGATATTGAGGTAGCAGCGTGGGATCATGGGAGTTGTTGTCTTTACCACCATTGAGTCATTGAGTCAGCTTCTCCCGGTTAGGTTCAGTATTCATGGTTCAGGAGGTTATAGATTATTGATTTAATGACATTATATTCAAAGCTAAAGGTTTTATTGTTACATTTTCAGTGTCTTTGTTAAAAAAGATTTCAGTCCGATGAAAATTAAAATTAGAAATATTCTGTTGGTTGAATGTGTCCACGTGTGTAAATTCATCTTACATATTAATTCTTACAGTTTAATATTTATTTCAATAAAAGTGGACGAAGCAGAAGAGTTAATAATATTAATATTTAATAATGAACTTCTTTCTGTCTGCTGCATGTTTGAAGATCGATCCACCAGTTTTGCTTTCTGCTCCAGTTTGTTTAGAAGTTGCTTGTGTTCTGGACCATTATTGATTATTGTTGATTATTGTTGATTATTGTCCCTTTAAACAAGCTGGTGATGATTATTCAGATTTTCAGATCTTTGAAGTGAAACAGTTAAACTTGATATTTGCTTTATTATTAAAAACACTACCGCTGTTGTCCACAGGGGGCGCTCCTTGTACAGGGTTGGGGTTCAGGAGGTCAATATTCAGAGATTTGTTGAGGCTGAGCTGCATTCAGCTGGTTGTAATCTGCTTCTTCACCACTAGATGTCCCTGAATGAATTATATTACATTATATGTTATATTGCATTAATATATTAATGTTCAATTAATATATTAATGCAATATTATATTAATATTATTACATTCATATATAACAGTAATATATGAATGTAATAATTACATTGATAGTATATTAAATTAATATTATATTAATAATATATATTATATTAATAGAGTTAGGGTTATATTACATTAATGTTATATTACATTAATATTACACACTTAAAGATTCACAGACAAATGCTGAACGTTTTACTCCATTATAGTGTTACTTTGTGTCCAGTGGTATCAGGTATCTCCAGATGATGAAGAATGTTCTCTTAACTTTAATAAAATAAAATAAAAATAATAATAAATAAAAAAAACTGAATCAAAACCTTGTTGGATTATATCACAGGATTTTCTAGTAGAATCTGAAGCTGTGGATTCAACCACCAACAGAACATATTATATTCAATTTCAATTCAATTTT